CATTGTGAAGCTGATGGGGCGGCAGAGTGATGTCACTTCAGCTTTCCAATCACTGCATCAGTCCCTCCTCCACCCGTCCTTCCCACCCCTTCCCCCGTGTGACACCAGGCATCCAGTGCGTACAGGGGCATCGGCATTGTGAAGCTGATGGGGCGGCAGAGTGATGTCACTTCAGCTTTCCAATCACTGCATCAGTCCCTCCTCCACCCGTCCCTCCTCCACCCGTCCCTCTCACCCCTTCCCCCGTGTGACACCAGGCATCCAGTGCGTACAGGGGCATTGGCATTGTGAAGCTGATGGGGCGGCAGAGCGGTTTCATTGCCATGCACTCCTCGCTCGCCAGCGGGCAGGTTGACATGGCGCTCATACCCGAGGTGCGTGGCGTGGAAGGGAGGGAACGCAGGGAAAGGGGTGAAGGGAAGGAAAGGAGGGGAGGGAAGGGAGGGAGACAAACGTGTTGGTTTGATTGACATGCACTCGCCGCTGGCCAGCGGGCAGGTGAACATGGCGTCCATTCCCCAAGTATGCAGCGAGGGAAGGGAGGGAGGGAAGCCTTTCACACCTTTCACCACACCGCTTGCTGTCTCAGCTGCTCACCTCGTCTTTCCTCCTCATACTTGCTCCATTCTGCCTGGTGGGCTCCAATGGACTGCACCACCAACTTCCAAGTCAATTTCTTCACGTCACCAAATTTCTCTCCGCACCCCTCTCCTCCCTCCTCTCTTGCCTTTCCTGCCTCCGCCCCTGCCTCCGCGCTCTCAACTGCCAGGTGCCGTTCTGTCTGGAGGGGCCCAACGGGGTGTTGCAGCATCTGGAGTATCTCCTGGACCGCCAGGGCCACGCCATCATCTGCGTGGCAGAGGGCGCAGGGCAGGTGAGGGTTCACATTGGGACGTTTGAGGTGAAGTTCGATGGTTGAGGTGAAGTTTGACGGTTGAGGTGAATTCTGACAGTTGAAGTGATTTTTTTATGGTTCAGGCAACCCATAAGTCATCGTGACCGCCAGGGCCACGGCATCATCTGCGTGGCAGAGGCCGCAGGGCAGGTGAGGGGTTTCATGGGGACGTTTGAGGTGAATTTGACAGTTGAAGTGTATGCTGACCAGAAGTCCTCTTGACCGCCCCGCCAGGGCCACGCCATCATCTTCTGCGGAGGGCGCAGGGCAGGTGAGAAAGAATAGTTCTCCACTTGTTTGACAAGGATGCAAAAATTCCAGGAACGAAGGAAGAACCCAAGTGTGGAGTGTGTGTGTGTGTGTGTGTGTGTGTGTGTGTGTGTGTGTGCGCGCGCGCGCGTGTGCGTGTGCGTGTGCGCGTGTGTGTGCGTGTGCGCGTGCGTGTGCGTGTGTGCGTGTGTGTGTGCGCGCGCGCGCATCTTCACCCTTGTCAATTTTGATACTTCGCAAGAGTAACACAAGCATTCCACGCTTGTGTGTGCGTGCAGGACATCGTGCAAGGGGAGGGTGGCACGGATGCGTCAGGAAATCCAATCCTGTCGGACATCGGGGTCTTTCTCTTGAAGCAGGTGCGGGTGGGGAGGCTGCTACGGATTGGCTCGTTCTCATTCTCTTTATCATTCCGACTCATAATCAATTCGATCGTCATTCCCGTCATTCCCATTATTGGTCTCACTATCTTTCTCATTCTCATTCCCATTATCGCTTCTTTCTCTTTCTCATTCTCACTCACTCTCCTCTACACAGCTTTGAGTACTACCATTCACCTTGCACAGTGCGATTTCGCCTTCGAAATCCACATCTCCCTTTCATCCTCCTTTCCCCGCTCTTCCTGCTCGTGACCTATTTTTGGCTGATAGGTGCGGCGTCATTTCAAGTCCATCGGACGGCCAGCAGACGTCAAATACATCGATCCGACGTACATGATCCGAGCGTGCCGCGCGAACGCGTCGGACAGCGTCATGTGCGCCGTGCTAGGGCAGAACGCCGTTCACGGCGCATTCGCCGGCTACAGCGGCATCACCGTCGGGTTGGTCAACTCGCACTACGCGTATATCCCGATCCCCGAAGTTATCAGGCATGCGCGGCCCGTGGATCCCAACGGTCGCATGTGGCACCGGTGTCTCACGGCCACTGGTCAGCCGGATTTTATTCGGGTGCAACAATAAGGGAAAATATGCCGTTCGTAACCATCATGGGACTCGAAAACATTTTTGGTGAAAAAATAAAGGGTACGGTCAATGCAAAGGGTGTTTTCACGCGACTGATAAAGCGTTTCACGGAATCAGTCACAATCAGCTGGTAAAAAAAACGCGAATGGTCACAGATGAAACTCCCGCCAAAACAAAATGAAACCCAGAAAGAACCTGGATGCATTTTCGGATGATCAACCCTAAACACGTAACTCGCCAGGTGTTTAGGGTTGATCCGTTCCCAAACCGCTTCCGATTCCGATTGGGTTTTAGTTTTTTTACAAGTTCGCAGATTGGTTGGGCGCGAGCGGGAATTTTGTTGAGTTTCAAGTTTTTTTGGCGGGAGTTACATGTGTGACCATTCGCGTGATTTTCTACCTGTTGTTAGTGACTGAATCCGTGACCCCGCTTACCAAACCCGTCAGAAAACCCGATACAGTGACCGTACGCGTTTTTTTTCTTACCATTCACGTTATCGAGTCCCAAGTTGGTTACTTGTGGCATATTCTCCCCAACAATAAGGTTGTCGTACAGCTTCCAGGTTGAATAGTTCAAGAGGTTTATGAAGACGGCTGATTCATTGTCTTGTATTGTAACAGCTCATGCCGGGTTATCCGCTAAATAAATATCGGAATCTCCTGACCTACCTTGATCCCTTATATTTATAACTCAATACACGTCCAGGTAGCCTGTAAACACCATTCTGCTCCATGGGTCAGGTAGTAAATATCACACAAAAACAGAAATAAAATAGCTGCTATTTTATTATTTGACCTTAGATGGCTGCTCTCACCAGATAAATATTAACGGAATTGGAAAAATGCCATGAAGTCTGATAAAAAGGAGTGAGTAGCCTCCAGGCGTAGAATTGAATGTATACTTTAGTATTCATCGTTTTCTATCTTTCTGGGCTGCAAGTTACCATATTGCGTCACGTTCTTTTCGTCGCCTTGGGGTGTGTGTACTCTCAGGATAATCATCCTGCCTCGACTGAGATAAAGGTAGTTAACAAGATACTTGGGTGACCTTTCGGGCCACTTCGCGTAATTCCCTTACAGCCTCTGACTGTCTGCCAACTAGCTCCACAATTCCACCCTCGTGTCAGGCTCTTCTCGATATTTGCAAAAATCAAGCCTCATTCCCTCAAACCTGTGTTCAGTTCACCATTCGAACTTGGGATTTAGAGCTTGCGCTCTCCCTCCACAAAGAGAGTACCCCAAGGTCACTTGAAGTGAGCCCTGCCACCTCCCCCAGACTGCCCATAGGTCCCCTCCCAAACCTTCGCCTAAACCCCAAAAAAAGTTGCTTCCCTATCACCTCTCAAAGTCGATGTCGAGGTAGTTTGGAATATACAAGGTTGTTTCTGGAGGGGCCGGGTATGTTCGAGCTTGAATTCAATCTCTCAACACAAACCCAGGACGCGATGCCGCCCGTTGTTGGTGATTGACCTGAACATATTGTTGTGGCTAGTATGGTTCAGTACGGTTCTAATTGTCATCGAGGCTCGGCGATTGAAACTGTGGTGTGCAGCAGCTTATGCGATTCGGGCGTTTCCGTGAAAATCAAGGGATTGCTGGGCTTGTCAGGCATCACCTGACGTCCGAACGTGACAGGTAGCCTTCCGAACCTATCCCCGCCGACATTGCCATACCTGACATCAATCTGACAGCGGTCCACCATAACAATCGCGGATGTGTGTAACGAGTACTAGACCGACTCGTTTTTTGTCCGTTGGGTCAAACGCGAACCTCTATTCGCTCGGGACCTCTGCGCAGTCGGGCCACCCCGGAGGAAACCGAACCAGTCTTCCTTACCTACGCTGCCAGCCAAACCGCTCCCGAGGCCGCAAACCGAGCTTTCCGTTCCCCTCCGACATTCCCGCCAAGTTTGATCCAGAACCTGCTGGGCTGCTCTGGCACAAGAACCGTGCAAGGAGATCGCGTTCCAACCCTCCCCGCCCCTGAAATGCCTCGCCAAAATTCTGTGGTGTACGGTACTGTAATCGGTTGCTATCTCGTGTCCACATTTCCGATGCTCCCTGGTCTGTTTCCTAGCCAGCCAACACATACCTGCTTTGCACATAACGCATCTCCGAGTTTTTGACCCCATGAATCTACGGCTGGCCTTTCCTCGTCACCTCCGGTATTTGTACGGAGGCGGCTCCTCGTGCTAGTTCTTTCACTCCTGCGTATTTGGCGGCGGAACGCGTTCCTTTTACCGCAAAATATGTTTGAGATTACATACACATAGGAGATGCGTTCTCTTGAAAAGACATATATATCTTGTTTTTGTGATTGTCCTGAGTAAGGCTATTGGTGTCTCAGAGCATTGCTTGTGCAGCAGTATTCAATTTGCCTTATCATCTTGTTTCCAGCTTTTCGACCAGTTAACCCGACGAACGACAGCAGATTATTCGCGATCTTGACTCATTAGGCTCGATCGATCATTTCCGGGACTAGGTCAACCCTAGGACCTTCGACGTTGAACAGGCCGACTCAAGCTTTTTGTTGCGACGTTCGCTGAGCGCAGATACTTTCTACTTCCATCTTCTTCTGGCACACACCGAGTAAGGTAACCGCGCTTCTGCGCCAGTCTTTAAAGATTATCTTGCAGCAAGTGTCGTGAGTGGATACTGAGTCGTCTCAACGCTTCCTTACCATCGGATATCTCAGTTTCTTCGTTTCCCGCTGTCGTGGTTCCCTCAAGCGTTGCGATTAGGTGCTTCCGCTAACCCGCCTTCTTATCCAATTTTCGTCTCCCCTTCCATCCCCGTTGCAGATGCTCTCGTTAGCCGACATTATGATGGTCGTTCCTCCTTCTCCAACCCCAGCCAAAATCCCTCGACGGAGTTCCTACTTCTGGAAAGTCAGCACAGTGGTTCTTCTGGCCATATGTGGTCTGTCACTGTGCATTAAATCCATATCACACACCGCATCCTCGTTCGACCTATTCGCGTCGCTATCCATTGAAGCTGTTCCCATCGATTCCCCATACGATCCCCCATCTCCGCCCCACTCCTCCTCTTCCTCGTCCTCCTCCTCCTCTTCCACCTCGTCCTCCTCCTCCTCCTCCTCGACTTCTTCGCCGTCCCGCTCACTCGCTTCCGAGGAAAGCGAGGAGGAGAAGGCAGCTGTGCGGAAGGCGCAAAGAGAAGCAGATTCGAGGGAGTTAGAGAAATGTCCCGCGATCCCGGACGTAGAATATGGCGACTTGGAGCGGTTCGGTCAACATTATCCCAACCCTCTTAATTATAGCCGAGGAGAATGCCTATGCAAACCCGTGCATAACTTCGTCGTCCTTTCCATGCAGCGGTCCGGCAGCGGGTGGTTTGAAACGTTCTTAAACTCCCACCCGAACATTAGTAGTCACGGCGAGATATTTATAGTCAGGCCGCGTCGCGAAAACGCGTCGGCGGTCGCGGAGACGCTTGACCGCGTGTACAACCTGGATTGGTCGAACAGCGCCGCGAAGAACTCGTGCACGAGCGCCGTCGGATTCAAGTGGATGCTCAACCAGGTGAGGGGGACCGTTGGATTGAGAAACATGTTTAGCTAGGTGGGGGGACCGTCTACTTCAGATGGACGGTCTTCTTGGTAGATGAGCTGTTGGATTGGGATGGATGGGCAACCAGGTGGGGAGAGGATGAGGGAGGGATGGAGGTAAAAACCTGACGACTGGCGGGGAAGTGAAGTAAGGACGAGAACGGAGAGGAGGCCAGGGATAGGGAGGGGGGAAAGCGAGCGGGAGGCGGAAGGAGGAATGGAGCAGGGAGGGAGGACGGGGCAGGAAGGGCGACGGGTGGGTGGGGAGAGGGATCGGAGAGAGTAAGGGAGGGAGTGAGGGAGTGACGGCTAAGTGACGGTAACTCAGGAGGGGGAGACATGCGTCTGACGAGATCAGGGTGGGAAGGAGGGAGGAGGGAGGTGGTTGGAAGGTTGTCGCATGAGCACATGGGTTCGCCGTCTTGCCCTGACTCACAACCTGGTTGCTGTTCTTGTGGCTTCTTCTCGGTTTGTTTGCCCTTATTTCTCCTCCCAGTAACCTCTTGTCCCTCATTTCCATCTTCTGCCCTATTTCCCTCCTCTCCTGCGTCCTCCTCCCGCATCCACCCCCTGCTTTCCGCTTGGTCGCCATTCTTCACTCATTTCTCTCCCCTATTCCCTCCTTTCCTACTCCCTACCCCCCGGGCCAACTTCCGCTGCCTCTGGCTCCGCAGGGCGCGATGGAGTTCAGCAGTGACGTGGCAGAGTACTTCAAGAAGCACCACGTGTCCGTCATCCTGCTTATCAGGAAGAACGTGCTGCGGCGGCTGATTTCCATCCTGGCGAATGCGTACGATCGCAAGACGCAACTAGTGGGAGTGCACAAGTCGCACACGCATAGCAAAGAAGAGGTGCGTCGTGCGCTCAATCAGATCTCCTCTTCTCCCTTCCCCTTGCTCCACACCACACCACACACCCCACCTCCCTTCACCCTACCCGAACCCCTTCCCCACACTGCCCTTCCGTTCCCCTCCTCCCCCTGAAGAAGCACCCGTAGCACAGCTACTCTTTACTCGCGCTCTCTCTGTCTCTCTGACCTTTTCCCTCCCCTCGCTGTCCTAAACAACCCCGCTATCTGGCACCAACATTCATTATTTAGTCAACGTAAAAGAATGTATTTGTCACCAGCATTCACCGCCATTCCTCCGCATGCCACCTTCGTTAGTGTAACCAACATTCCTGCGTTTTTCACCCCTGGGTGGGTTCGTCCGACGGTGCAGGCGGAGAAGCTGGCAACGTTTCGGCCGAACGTGAACGCGAAGCACCTGGAGGGCAACCTGCAGCGCGTGCAGGAGATGGTGGACGACGCGCTCCGAGCGTTCAACGGCACGCGGCGGATGCTCGTGTACTACGAGGACGTGGTCAAGAACAAGACGGTGAGTGCTGCCAACCTGCCAGTTATTTGCTAATGCTGCTCGAATATGCTCAGTCACTCAATCATATCTGTTGTGGAATAACCTTGTTTGGTAGATCTTGGTCCCTTTCCCCGTCACCCCTCTACCTCCTCTGTCATTCCACAACCCCAACTCCCCTCCCTCCCTCCCTCCGTCCCTGCCTTCCCTGTTCCCTCCTCCCTCCGAGCTCCATCTTCCCACCTTCCATTCACACATCTCCTTCAATCCTCTTCCCCGCCAGTCATCCAGCCCTCTCTCTCAATCACTTACTACCTCTCACCTCTCCCCACGTTTCACCCCTCCCTTCCCTCCCTGCTGCCTCCCATTTAGATCCTGGAGAATGTGCGGCGCGTCTTCGGAGTGCCGGCACGGAGCTGATAAGCAAGCCTCTCTTTCTTACACTCACCCTCTCTCGCCTTCCCTCCCCCCCCCCCCCCCCTCCCCCCCCCTCTCCTCCCCACTTCAGATCCTGGAGAATGTGCAGCGCTTCTTGGGGGTGCCGGCGCAGGAGCTGACGAGCAAGCAGGTGAAGATCCACACGCGGCCGCTGAGGGAGTCGATTGAGAACTACGATGCCGTGGCTGCGAAGCTCAAAGGCACCGAGTTTGAGAAATTCCTGGAGGATGAGAGCTATGGTTGACGTTGTGCGCGGTGGTGAGGTGACAGTCATTTCTGGGTGTGGCGGGCGGTGGATTGGAGGCCTACTGCCATGGCCACCTAGCCATGGAGAAATCAGCGCACTTGTGCAGTATGCATTGCACATAGAATTTATGAAGGGCATCTGTTCCCTCCTAAGAGGAGGGGATGACTAGGTAGAGTGTAACAGAAGATTATGTTTTGTATAGATTACAGCCGGAGTTGCTGCTAGAAGGCTTGAAATAATCGCAACCTACAATGGAGTTGCCATGCAAAATGTATTTCGATTTTCAGTCCCCCTTTTAATCAATTCTCAATCTGCAACGTTGTTTCCCGCTATTCCAGTATTGGGCCAGTTTAAATGAATCGCTGTTGCAAGTTTTGATTCAACTTCCAAGGAATGACGGTCAACACAAGTTCAAAGCTAGGCAAGCATCGTATATCGCGTATGATCGCCGTCAAACACCTACAGAATCATAAAAAACCATCTCGGTAACTCACACTGACGCCATGGCGGCTGCTCTGCAGCTGCTGTTGTAAGGTGCCTGCCTCTGCGTAGCTGCAGGGAAGGGATACTGCACCGCCGATCTCCACCATTGATCCCTCGATCGCACTTTTTTCGTGGATTCTCATCATTGATCCCTGGTGGCTGCACGAGCTGACCTCGTTGCTATCTTCGCTCTCTTGCGCCTCGCGTCTCAGACGATCATCTCCCCCCCCTCCACTCCGTCGCACGATCAGCACCAGAAACGCATCCCGTTTCAGCTTGCGTCTTCATGTGTTTTTTGCAGTGACAACATCCCCACCCTCGACTCCCACGCCTGTTATCTAACGACCTGTAATTCCGCGATTCGCTGATCCGTAAACAGGACAAGACTCTCAGGATTCCTCCTGCTTCGTCTTGAACCCTTCGTCACATTTCAGCACCACCTTTGGCAACGCTGACGCCATGCCACGTGTCGATTTCCTGCGGGTCCGCCATGGCATCTCCAGGCTGGCTCGCGACGGGTTCCATTCGTTTCGTCACCACCATCACGAGGCTTCTCACACCGGAACGCGCGGCGTTACAGCATGGCGGGCTGGGCTCGAGAGCGACGGATGCGGGGTGTCAAGGCTGCCGCACGGGAGAGCGTCGTCAGATACAGCCTTGTCAGCTACTAGTTTGCGGGAGTCGCTGAGTTCTGAGACAGCTCAATGCGTCCAGCAGCAGGCGGTGCAGCAGCAGTTGCAGCCGTGGAGATCTCCAGAGACGCCGGGTCAGGTGTCCAAATTCGTTGAATCGCTTTTTGAAGGCCCTCAAGAACCCTGGAGATCCCAAGGGTCGACAAGCCAGGTGTCCAGATTCATCGGGAGTCACATTTGCCATCAGCAGCGCATTCCTTCTGTAACCAGTTCTGCTGCGCTTGCCTCTCCACAGCAGCACTGGCAGAAGCAGCACTGGCAGAAGCAGCAGCAGCAGTACTGGCAGCAGCACCTTCACGTGGCCCAGAGAGCCGCCTTCACGACTTCAGCTAGCAGTCTTCCCAGTCACACCAGCACAGCAGGCTCGCCTGGTCCTGTCCTCTCAAGTCATTCTGCAGCGCCAACCCATGCTCGCACTTCAAGCCGTTGTTATAGCTCCAGCTCGGTCAGCCAAAGCAGTCAAAGCAGTCAAACCAATTCCACCAGCCCCACCAGCCCCACGCTTCAACACAGTCAGGCCAGTCAAACGAGCCCCACCAGTCAAACCAGCCCCACCAGCCCCACCAGTCTCAACAGTCAACCCAGTTCCACCCCTCCGAACGGCAGTGTTGTTCCAGCAGGCAACAAGCAACCGGATCAGTTCATACCAGTCAAGGCAGTCTACGTGGCAAGAAGGTACCTTAACTCTTAAACCCTCAATATTCTTAACTCTTAAAACTTGAGCGTTTATGCTCGTGAACCAAAATACATTTACCCATTTTACATACAGCACGCGTTTGCAATGCACCATGCCTGCTCTTAAGCCGAGCTGTCGGAGGTTCAGGGTTTGGGTTTTAAGGTGACATTTATTCACCATTGTTTTCCATCTGCATCCTAGAGTCCACTGTCATCTTCTGTATGTGCCTGCCTGAATTCTCATCTCTATATACACCGCCCGTTTTGAGAAGTAGGGTGCGGGTGAGGCCTACAGGGGTTTTGGGGTTTAGTATGTTGTCTGTGCGGTGTTTCAAGAATCTCCCACTTTGCTCCCATCTTGCTCCCATCCATCCCACTTTGCCGCTGCCAGTCTGGACGTGAGGGGGCTGGCAGGTCCCAGTGGGTTCGGGAGGCATGCAGCTGCAGCCAGCCAAGAGCAATGTCATCATCCGCGTCCCCAACCGCCCCCCTTCTTTTTGTCTGCAATCCATCCCCCACGCACCCCCAGTCTGGACGTGAGGGGGCTGGCGGGTCCCAGCGGGTTCGGGGGTATGCAGCTGCAGCCAGCCAAGAACAATGTCATCATCCGCTTCCCCAACCGCTCCCTGCCTCTTCCCCTCCATGCTGCGCTGTCCAAACCCGTGAGTGCCATTTCAGTGGTGTGTGTGTGGGTGGCGTGTCAGTGGGGTGTGGGTGCTTCTGGCATTGCATGTTGAGAAGAGGCGTTTAGCTGTTGCAATGCATGTAAGCTTCGGTTGCTGCTGCTGCTGCGGCTGCTGCTGCTTTTCTGCCAGCATCCCCGTCCAGACCCGAAACTTCATCCACCGTGATGGCAATCGTCTGCAAGCCCACACTCTCTGTCTCCTTGGAGGGCCCACTCCTCTGCGTTGTATGCCGGCGCTGGCGGCGCACAGTGCATGGAGGCATGTGTGGTGGGGCACCTGAGCGCGCTACATGGTGGCGTTCCATTATGGCTCCGTGCTATCGCCCCCCATCCTGCTACCTCCCCTTCCTACCATACATCCCATCCCATGCCCGTCTGTTTCGCCAGGGCATGGAGGCATGCGTACCAGCACCGGAGCGCTAAATGGTGGCGTTTCATTACGGCTCCGTGGTCTTTCCTCCCCATGTTCCCTCCCCTTCCTTCCATGCACCCCATTCCCATACACCCCTGTCACCACCCTCAGGGCATGGAGGCATGTGTACCAGCACCTGAGCGTTACATGGTGGCGTTTCACTACAGCTTCGTGGTCTTCTTTTACTTTGACCGCATTCCCATTCGCAATACATTCCATCCCATGGGTTTCTACCCCCGTCCTCAGGGCATGGAGGCATGTGTGCCAGCACCAGAGCGCTACATGGTGGCGTTTCACTACGGCTCCGTCGTATTCAAATTTGACCGCACAGAGGAGGCGCTCGCCCTCGATATTGTCACCCAGCACTGCACTGGGGCGTTCAAGGAGGCGCACAGCGACGGTGGGTTGCTGTGACCTCGATATAGTCACACAATGCTGTGCTGTTTAGAGGCACACATCAATGGTTCGTTCATTTTTCTTGATAGTCACGTGTTCTTGGCATATCTTTGAAGCACATATCTATGGTTGCTCCCACATGTGCGCTCCACGCAGAGTACAGTGTGATCGCGCGTGCCGGTCTGAAAGGGTGGAGCGAGGGGGGCCATGACTACGTGGCGGTGAGGCAGCTACCCAACACCCTGCAAGTGTCCCCTTGTGCTTCTTATACCACACAGAGTACAGTGTGATCGCGCGTGCCGGTCTGAAAGGGTGGAGCGAGGGGGGCCATGACTACGTGGCGGTGAGGCAGCTGGACGTGAACAACATCCGAGTCATCTCCAGCATCCTCGGACAGAGCGTCGCCCTTGACCACTATGCTCGCAAGGTGGGTGCACTGTTTTTAGTCGACTCAAAACATGACTCATTCAAGTCATTTCCAGCATCCCTGGGCAGAGCGTGGCTCTTGACCACTATGCTCGCAAGGTGGGTGCAGTGGGAAGGAGGGTCTCAAGGTGGGTGGTGTGGAGTTGAAGGGAGTGAACTGAAGGGTTGTGTGCTGGGTGTGTATTCCGGAGGGTATATTCTAGCTGCTGTGTATTGGAAGGAGTGTGTGTCTGGGTTCATCTGTGGTGAGGCAGCTGGACGTGAACAACATTCGAGTCATCTCCAGCATCCTCGGGCAGAGCGTGGCTCTTGATCATTATGCACGCAAGGTGGGTGCAATGCGGTGGAGTGTGGTGGATGGAATGGAGTGATGCAAGGTGGGCGCGTCTGGGCCATTGGCGTCACAACTCTCAACCGCTGCGTACGGGAAACGACACCTTTTTGACTTCACTGCGCCTTTCCTTTACATTGGAAGGTGGACGAGATGGTGAACACGTTCAGGGGCATGGAGCAGAGCGGCAATCCCACCTTGATGCCCTTCTTCCTCCCCTCTGCCTTCCCTAATTCCCCTCCCTCTTCTCCCGCAGCCGGATGGGATGGTGAACACGTTCAGTGAGCTGAATCGAGGCAAGAAGCAGAGTGGCACATCCAAGATCGTTCGAACCATGCTTGAACGGCCACTACCTTCTCCCCCTCCCTGCCTTCAGGTGGACGAGATGGTGAACACGTTCAGTGGGTTAGAACAGGAGTGCGTGGAGCAGAGCGGCACGTTCACCATGACCCCTGTTTCCAGTACTATGCGCTGTGTTGCCTTGTGCTGTTCCCCACTCGCAGGTGGACCAGATGGTGAACACTTTCAGTGAGCTGAGCAGAGGGATGGGGCAGAGCAGCACGTTCGGGTCACTATGACTGCTGAATTGCTCACTTCTGCCTTTACTAACCCTCTATTCCTTTCCCACTCGCAGGTGGACGAGATGGTGAACACGTTCAGTGAGCTGAACAGAGGCATGGAGCAGAGCGGCACATTCACCATGACTCGCAAGAAGCTCTTCCAGCTCGTTGCTGCCGCCAACACCACCCTGGCTGACGTCATCCTCAGAATAGGGCTGCTGGAGAGGTGCGATGAGGACTCTTGTGTCTGTCCTCTTGCCTTGCTAGTCTCGTCGTTCCACTCCACATGTTGTTACTGAATCCTGCCCCTGTTAAAGGAGCTCTCGACTCGCTCAGCGTACACTTTTTTTTGTTGTTGCTGTCGTACTTGTTGCTTTATTTGTGTTCCGTTTCTCGTGCGTGGCCAGGTCGGACACGGCGTGGCGGCATGCGGAGTATTCCAAGATCTGGGAGTTCCTGCGGGACGACTTTGAGCTGGACGAGCGCTTTGAGAGCCTCGACTTCAAACTCAACATCATCCAGGTGACGACCTTCACACCGTCTCTCTCTCACGCTGGTGTCTTCAGTTTCTTCTTGTCTTCTGAGTTTGTTGCTGCTGCAGTCATTCCTTGCTTCGTGCGATGATGGTATTTATGTTGGGTTTACTTGATATGATTTTTTTCGTCTGGCAGCACAATGTGCGGTTCTTCTTGGATATTCTTCAAAACCGGAAGTCAGACACGCTTGAGTGGATTATCATCCTGCTCATTGCAGGCGAAATCTGTGTTAGCCTGTACGAGATCATTTTTAGATCCATGGAGAATTCTAAGTAGGATGTAGGTACCTGGTAGCTATTTCCTTGAAGTTGATTAGTTCGATGAGATGGTCTAGCAATTAAGCATAAAAAAAGTCAATTTTGTGTGGTGGAGATGCATGGGAAATCGAATATAAATCATTTCCCCCACTTCATATTTTCGCCTTCCGCGTATTGAGGCTAGTTCGCTTCGCATCTGTGAAAGACCGGGTGAAGGTGTCGAAAACCGGATGCACTTGTAAGGAGGTTGGAATGATCACATCACAACACAACTCCGATTTGTCCTGGTTGCCTAAATCAAGAATTCCAAGTCCGCTTCGCAAGTCCCGCTGCTGCAAGCCATGACAGTGACAGCTCGCCGTCGACGGCGCTGCAGCCTCGTCCTGCTTTGCATTGCCGTAATCCTGACCGTCAATAATTCTTCCTACGCAGCGACAGAGAATGTCGCCGCAGCGTCGCAAAACGTCGCAACGCCGTCGCAAGGAAGCGACGTTGCACGAAGTGCTACAGTTCAGGGCTCGATTGCGACACCCAAGCGAGGTGTTCCAGAGTCGCTCGGATGGCTGATCTCCTCCTTCGGGGGAATCTCTGATGATGATAAAGAGGACGATTCGTTACTGGAATCCTCGCTGAAAGCAGATTTAGCTTCCACCAATGAACACAAAGACCACGTAGATTCCGGAGGATCAGGTGACACGTGGACAGCCGAAGATCTGTGGGATGAAATCAGCGCTGACGTGGATCCTCTGCTGCTGGAGGCTGGATGGGGGGCGTATCTAAAGTGGATTGCGGATTCGGCGGGGGGAAATGCGGCTACGGCGCTTCGAGCAGCCACGGGGAAAGGACCCATAAAGGTGGGGTAGCCCCTCGTTCTGGACTATCTAGTGGTTGGCCGTCTAATTAGAAATTTCCACATCTACGGCTGTTGTTTGGGCGAATGATAAGTAACCAGTTTGGATGACAGCTGAACAAGCTGTGACCTTTAGAGCCTTGATCAATCCTTTCAGATTGGTTCTGTTCCGTTCCGTTCCGTCAGAACAAAGCCCATCGTGAGCATGCGTGTCCAGGCATGTCCTTGTTCAGTCGCTTCCTTTATGCTGCTTTAGAATGCTTTTTCAAGAGTAGATGTCAACTGATTCCTCCCCAACCACTGTGCATATCCTCTGTGGCTTGCCTGGGGCAACATTGCTTCAACATGCATGTCCTGTACTGCTTGGCATGTATGGCATTTATGGTACGCATCATGCATGTATGGCATTTATGGTTCGCATCATGCATGTATGGCATTTGTATGTCACTGCTTGCCATCTCTTGGCGGCTGTTTGAATGGCATGTAATCGATGGAATGAAATGGTTTGTGATGGCATGTGGTGGCATGTGATGGCATGTGGTGGCATGTGGTGCATGTGGTGGCATGTGATGCTATGTGGTGGCATGCGATGGTATGTGGTGGCATGCGATGGTATGTGGTGGCATGTGATGGCATATGATGCATCTGATGGCATGTGATGGCATATGATGCATCTGATGGCATGGAATGGCATGAATACGCAGCTGCTGATGTTGAAGCAACGGTTTGTGCCCAAGCCACAACAGACAAAGCAGGAGGGGGATGAGAAGCCTGCAAAATCTTCTAACGAGGATGAGTACATGTGAGTAGCTCCACCTGCCGTTACATGACCATTCTTGTTGATGTTGTTTCGTTTTTCTTTATTTCTCCCTTCCCCTGCGCCTCGCCTACTAATGCAACTCTCAAGTCACCTAATTTTCTGCTCCCCGTGCGTGCTCCCATCTCCATCCCATGCAGGTTCCTGCCGTCCCTGGTTACCACCTGCCCATTCTTCAGAAGCAGCTGCTCAATTCCCTCCTGCTGCGCCATGATATCAGAGCCGCTTCACAAGTCACCTCGTTCTCTGTTCCCCGACTCTCCTAACCTCTCCCTCTTTCTCGTGCAGGTTCCTGCAGTCCCTGGTTACCACCCGCCCCATTTGCTGCGGCCAAGTGCTCTTCTCCCTGCGCCTGCTCCCCACAAGGCACCTCATTCATTCTATCTTCCCTATTGTCCTCCCAACCTCTCCCTCCATCCCATGCAGGTTCCCTCCTTCCTTAGTTACCGCCCGCCTCCCAAGTCACCTCGTCCTCTGTTCCCCGACCCTCCCAACCTCTCCCTCCTTCCCATGCAGGTTCCTGCCATCCCTGGTTACCACCCGCCCCATTCGCCGCGGCCAAGTGCTCTTCTCCCTGCCCCTACGCCTCGCCTTCTCCTCCTCCCTCTGCGCCTCCTCTCCTCCCTTTTCGGTCCCATCCCCATCCCTCTCCGCGTCTCTCTCTGCTGAAGCCTCTCTTGCTGTCTGCGCCCTTTCCCACCTCCACTCTTCCTCGTCCTCTTCCTCTCCTTCCTCCTCCACCTCCTCGTTCGCCTGGGCGCCATTCCTCCACCTGCTGATTCACCTGAAGGCGGGTCAGCGCCGCGCGCTGCCCATGATGCACGAGGGGGTGGGCATGCAGCCGGAGATGGCAGAGGTGAGACAAAGCAGGATCTGAGTGCTCAGGATGCGTATGGTTGCGGTATTGTGCTTGGATAGATGTGTGGTAAATCACGTTGCCCATGATGCACGAGGGGGTGGGCATGCAGCCGGAGATGGCAGAGGTGAGACAAAGCAGGATCTGAGTGCTCAGGATGCGTATGGTTGCGGTATTGTGCTTGGATAGATGTGTGGTAAATCACGTTGCCCATGATGCACGAGGGGGTGGGCATGCAGCCGGAGATGGCAGAGGTGAGACAAAGCAGGATCTGAGTGCTCAGGATGCGTATGGTTGCGGTATTGTGCTTGGATAGATGTGTGGTAAATCACGTTGCCCATGATGCACGAGGGGGTGGGCATGCAGCCGGAGATGGCAGAGGTGAGACAAAGCAGGATCTGAGTGCTCAGGATGCGTATGGTTGCGGTATTGTGCTTGGATAGATGTGTGGTAAATCACGTTGCCCATGATGCACGAGGGGGTGGGCATGCAGCCGGAGATGGCAGAGGTGAGACAAAGCAGGATCTGAGTGCTCAGGATGCGTATGGTTGCGGTATTGGGCTTGGATAGATGTGTGGTAAATCACGTTGCCCATGATGCACGAGGGGGTGGGCATGCAGCCGGAGATGGCAGAGGTGAGACAAAGCAGGATCTGAGTGCTCAGGATGCGTATGGTTGCAGTATTGTGCTTGGATAGATGTGTGGTAAATCACGTTGCCCATGATGCACGAGGGGGTGGGCATGCAGCCGGAGATGGCAGAGGTGAGACAAAGCAGGATCTGAGTGCTCAGGATGCGTATGGTTGCGGTATTGTGCTTGGATAGATGTGTGGTAAATCACGTTGCCCATGATGCACGAGGGGGTGGGCATGCAGCCGGAGATGGCAGAGGTGAGACAAAGCAGGATCTGAGTGCTCAGGATGCGTATGGTTGCGGTATTGGGCTTGGATAGATGTGTGGTAAATCACGTTGCCCATGATGCACGAGGGGGTGGGCATGCAGCCGGAGATGGCAGAGGTGAGACAAAGCAGGATCTGAGTGCTCAGGATGCGTATGGTTGCGGTATTGTGCTTGGATAGATGTGTGGTAAATCACGTTGCCCATGATGCACGAGGGGGTGGGCATGCAGCCAGAGATGGCAGAGGTGAGACAAAGCAGGATCTGAGTGCTCAGGATGCGTATGGGTGCTGAGGTGAGTTCAGGCAGCTGCATGAGTGCAGGCAGCTGCATGAGTGCAGGCAGCTGCATGAGTGCAGGCAGCTGCATGAGTGCAGGCAGCTGCATGAGTGCAGGCAGCTGCATGAGTTCAGGCAGCTGCATGAGTGCAGGCAGCTGCATGAGTGCAGGCAGCTGCATGAGTGCAGGCAGCTGCATGAGTGCAGGCAGCTGCATGAGTGCAGGCAGCTGCATGAGTGCAGGCAGCTGCATGAGTGCAGGCAGCTGCATGAGTGCAGGCAGCTGCATGAGTTCAGGCAGCTGCATGAGTGCAGGCAGCTGCATGAGTGCAGGCAGCTGCATGAGTGCAGGCAGCTGCATGAGTGCAGGCAGCTGCATGAGTGCAGGCAGCTGCATGAGTGCAGGCAGCTGCATGAGTGCAGGCAGCTGCATGAGTGCAGGCAGCTGCATGAGTGCAGGCAGCTGCATGAGTGCAGGCAGCTGCATGAGTGCAGGCAGCTGCATGAGTGCAGGCAGCTGCATGAGTGCAGGCAGCTGCATGAGTGCAGGCAGCTGCATGAGTGCAGGCAGCTGCATGAGTGCAGGCAGCTGCATGAGTGCAGGCAGCTGCATGAGTGCAGGCAGCTGCATGAGTGCAGGCAGCTGCATGAGTGCAGGCAGCTGCATGAGTGCAGGCAGCTGCATGAGTGCAGGCAGCTGCATGAGTGCAGGCAGCTGCATGAGTGCAGGCAGCTGCATGAGTGCAGGCAGCTGCATGAGTGCAGGCAGCTGCATGAGTTCAGGCAGCTGCATGAGTGCAGGCAGCTGCATGAGTGCAGGCAGCTGCATGAGTGCAGGCAGCTGCATGAGTGCAGGCAGCTGCATGAGTGCAGGCAGCTGCATGAGTGCAGGCAGCTGCATGAGTTCAGTCAGCTGCATGAGTGCAGGCAGCTGCATGAGTGCAGGCAGCTGCATGAGTGCAGGCAGCTGCATGAGTGCAGGCAGCTGCATGAGTTCAGGCAGCTGCATGAGTGCAGGCAGCTGCATGAGTGCAGGCAGCTGCATGAGTGCAGGCATCTGCATGAGTGCAGGCAGCTGCATGAGTGCAGGCAGCTGCATGAGTTCAGGCAGCTGCATGAGTGCAGGCAGCTGCATGAGTGCAGGCAGCTGCATGAGTGCAGGCAGCTGCATGAGTGCAGGCAGCTGCATGAGTGCAGGCAGCTGCATGAGTGCAGGCAGCTGCATGAGTGCAGGCAGCTGCATGAGTGCAGGCAGCTGCATGAGTTCAGGCAGCTGCATGAGTGCAGGCAGCTGCATGAGTGCAGGCAGCTGCATGAGTGCAGGCAGCTGCATGAGTGCAGGCAGCTGCATGAGTGCAGGCAGCTGCATGAGTGCAGGCAGCTGCATGAGTTCAGGCAGCTGCATGAGTGCAGGCAGCTGCATGAGTGCAGGCAGCTGCATGAGTGCAGGCAGCTGCATGAGTGCAGGCAGCTGCATGAGTGCAGGCAGCTGCATGAGTGCAGGCAGCTGCATGAGTGCAGGCAGCTGCATGAGTGCAGGCAGCTGCATGAGTGCAGGCAGCTGCATGAGTTCAGGCAGCTGCATGAGTGCAGGCAGCTGCATGAGTGCAGGCAGCTGCATGAGTGCAGGAAGCTGCATGAGTGCAGGCAGCTGCATGAGTGCAGGCAGCTGCATGAGTGCAGGCAGCTGCATGAGTTCAGTCAGCTGCATGAGTGCAGGCAGCTGCATGAGTGCAGGCAGCTGCATGAGTGCAGGCAGCTGCATGAGTGCAGGCAGCTGCATGAGTTCAGGCAGCTGCATGAGTGCAGGCAGCTGCATGAGTGCAGGCAGCTGCATGAGTGCAGGCATCTGCATGAGTGCAGGCAGCTGCATGAGTGCAGGCAGCTGCATGAGTTCAGGCAGCTGCATGAGTGCAGGCAGCTGCATGAGTGCAGGCAGCTGCATGAGTGCAGGCAGCTGCATGAGTGCAGGCAGCTGCATGAGTGCAGGCAGCTGCATGAGTGCAGGCAGCTGCATGAGTGCAGGCAGCTGCATGAGTGCAGGCAGCTGCATGAGTTCAGGCAGCTGCATGAGTGCAGGCAGCTGCATGAGTGCAGGCAGCTGCATGAGTGCAGGCAGCTGCATGAGTGCAGGCAGCTGCATGAGTGCAGGCAGCTGCATGAGTTCAGGCAGCTGCATGAGTGCAGGCAGCTGCATGAGTGCAGGCAGCTGCATGAGTGCAGGCAGCTGCATGAGTGCAGGCAGCTGCATGAGTGCAGGCAGCTGCATGAGTGCAGGCAGCTGCATGAGTGCAGGGAGCTGCATGAGTGCAGGCAGCTGCATGAGTGCAGGCAGCTGCATGAGTTCAGGCAGCTGCATGAGTGCAGGCAGCTGCATGAGTGCAGGCAGCTGCATGAGTGCAGGCAGCTGCATGAGTGCAGGCAGCTGCATGAGTGCAGGCAGCTGCATGAGTGCAGGCAGCTGCATGAGTGCAGGCAGCTGCATGAGTGCAGGCAGCTGCATGAGTGCAGGCAGCTGCATGAGTGCAGGCAGCTGCATGAGTTCAGGCAGCTGCATGAGTGCAGGGAGCTGCATGAGTGCAGGCAGCTGCATGAGTGCAGGCAGCTGCATGAGTGCAGGCAGCTGCATGAGTGCAGGCAGCTGCATGAGTTCAGGCAGCTGCATGAGTGCAGGCAGCTGCATGAGTGCAGGCAGCTGCATGAGTGCAGGCAGCTGCATGAGTGCAGGCAGCTGCATGAGCAGTTGAATTGGATATGGGGATGAATGTGCCACACAACACACTGCCCATGCTGCACCATGGGGTGGGCATGCAGCCGGAGGTGGCGGAGGTGAGTGCCATGCATGAGGGTGCTATTCTTGTTCTTCATGCGCACCCACGCCTTTTTCCATTCAACAGGCCCATCTCCTTTCAACCGTCTGTCTCGATCCTCCATCCTCCCTTTTCTCCAACATTCCCCCACACCTGCTTTGGGGAAGAGAGAGCAAGCAAGACACATGGCAGACAGACCATCTCAAGGCGCACTACCTCCTCGCCCTCTCCCCTTCTCTCCCCTCTTCCTCGCTCCCCCGCACACCACCCAGGCAGAAGCACTGAGGCAGCAATACGAGGGCGAGTACAGCGCATGGCAGCAGGCCACCTCCAAAAAGCCACCAGCATATAAGTCCCGCCGCAAGCCCAAGCCCAGCCCATCCCAGCACGACGGCAATGCTCAGAACCCCACGGGGGCTACAGGGAGTGCAGTGACCAAGGAGGAGTTTCTCCGTGCTGTCACCACTGCCCTCGTCACTTCCATCCCCCTGCCCTCCGCCGCCCTCCATGCCAGCAACCCCTCTGCTGCAAGCTCCCCCAGCGAGAGGCAGTGCCGTGCTGGTGCTGCTGCGGGCGACTATGCCTCTGGTGCTCGTACTTGCTCAGGGGAGGGGAGGTGGGAAGGGATGGAGGACGATGTCGAGGGGGAAGGGGAGGTTGAAGGAGAAGCGGAGGGGGAGGGGGATGGGCGGTATGAGTTGGCATTTGTGCCTCTCATGCACCTGCTGGGGCGGGCAGGGAGAGGATCCGTTGCAGATATAGTGCTGGCGGATGGTGAAGGGGGGGAGAAGAATGGGTTGGGGACTGGGAGTGAGCAGAAGGGAGGTGATGGGGACGTGGATGGGTATGGGGATGTGGATGGGTATGGGGATGTGGATGCGGAAGTTGATGCGCCGAACGTGCAGTGGGAGGTGGTGGGGGGGTCGATCCGTGTGGTTGCGACGCAGCCCATTGCCAACGACGCGCCGCTGCTGCTGCCTCTGGATGGCAGGCTGTCGGGGCACTTCAGAGAGGCGCAGAAGGCCAGGGAGCGGAGGATGAAGGCGAGGAGGCAGAGGAGGAGCAAAGAGAAGGAAGGGCAGAGGAGAGAGCAGGCCAAGGAAACAGACAAGCAGCAGCAGCAGCAGCAGCAGGGGGAGGAAAAGGAAAAGGAGGAGCAGGTGGAGGAGACGGAAGATGCAGGGGAGGAAGAGTACTTAGAGCAGCGCTGGCCCAGGGAAAGCAAGAGGTGGCAGGGAGCAGGACAGGCGGGCAAGGAGGAGAAACAAGAGCTGCAGAAGAGAGAGTCACCGAAGACACTGAGGCTTCCCCAACCGTCGCTGATCCACGCCACACCTCTCTCCAACACCGACGCATTCACCTACTTTGGAGTGGCTCCCAAGTCGCTCTTCCTCGCCCAGTTCCCCCTCTTCGACTCCCCTCTTGCTGCCCTGCAAGCGGCTGCCACGGAAGTGCCGCCCGATTTCGACCCCGACGCAATCGAATCCCAGCTCAAGATTGCGGAGATCGGCGCGAAGATTCTGCGGGCGGTGCGGAGGGTGAAGAGGAGGGTGGTAAAGGCGGTGGTGTGGGGGGGGCGGGAGGAGAGGGAGAGGCTTGGGGTGAGGGAGGAGATTGTGGAGAAAGTGAGAGTGTGGGAGATGAGGCGGGAGATGAGGGAGAGGATGGGGTTGGAGAAGAAACAGGGAGGAGGAAGCGAAAGGGGTAGTGGGGGGGGAGAAGGGGAGGAAGAAGGTGGGGAAGGGGAGGATGAGGAGGAGGGGCAAGGGGGGCAGGGGGGGCAGGGGGGGCAGGAGGGGCAGGGGGGGGTGGATGTGTCATGGCTGGAAGGGCCAGCGCTGCATGTGTACTCGCTGGGCCTCATGGATCCCGAGATGGTGGCCTACCTCACTGCCTTCACCTACTTCTTCGCCACTAAGGAGGGTGCGTGTTGAGGCACGCGTTGGTGAGTGTCAAGGGCGGGGATGAGTCTTCGAGCTGCTGTTTCTGCCGCACTGCAATGCTGCCTACTCATTCCCGCTGCATGTGTATTCGTTGGGCCTCACGGATGCTGCGATGGTGGCGTATCCTGAGTGTTTCTGCCATGGAGGAATGATGGGAGTCGTTTCAGGTCAGCCATGGGGAGGGTGAGAGTTGAGCTTTGAGTCGGCTCCATTGTCACACCTTGGGATTGAGACAAAAGCCTGAGACAAAGGTCACCTTTTGAGGATCCTCAAAAGCCGGCTGATGTGGTGCTGTTGCCGTTCACCTTCGCCTTTACCGCAAGGAAGGGTGAGTGTGTCTGTGCAGTCAGTCTGTCATATAGTGATGGTATAGTGCCGTTGCCGTGTCTCACTCCCTTCACTATACCATCTCAGCGTGTGTCTTCCCCGCAAGGAAGAGTGAGTGTGTCTGTGCAGTCAGTCAGTCATATGGTGATGGTATAGTGATGGGGGAGAGAGGGAGGGTGAGTGAGTTGCCTTCGACGCCGGCACAGAACAGCGTGAGTGCTTCTGCTTTTGCATCTGCCACACACACGGCAGCACGTCCTTACCCCCACCTACCTTGCTTCCCCTCTTCTTCCCACTTCCCACTTCCCACTTCCCCCCCCAGAGCCGCACTACAGCTTCTTTGCTCGAGTAAGCGTCGCCTATGCATGGAACCTCGACGGCCAAACCACGTGCACGCACATGCCTCTCGTCTCCTCCTCCTTCCCCTCATCCCCCTCATCCTCCTCCTCCATCCATTCCTCCAATCCCCTCCACATCTCCCTCGCCGAGTTTCCCCAGCGGGACCATCTGCTCTCCGCCCTCACGCCTGTGTTGAGACTCGTGGCGAGCACGCTGAGGGAGCTGGTGGAGGCGCACTTAGCTAAGTACCAGGGCTCGGTGCAGGAGGACGCCATGTCGCTTTATTACGTGCCCTTCTGCCGCGTGTGGCAGCGCGCCGGAGTGAAGCAGCCCGAGAAGATCGTCAAGGTGAGGCGTGGGGAGGGGTGGGGAGGGGTGGAGAAGGGTGCGCGAGTACCAGGACTCGGTGCAGGAGGACGCCATGTCGCTTTATTACGTGCCCTTCTGCCGCGTGTGGCAGCGCGCTGGAGTGAAGCAGCCCGAGAAGATCGTCAAGGTGAGGTGATGTGCGTGAGGTTGGAGGAGGGGAGAGGGGGAGTTTAGCGCCAAGTGCTGCGTGTGGCAGCAAGGGGGAGGGCAGCAGCTGGACAAGAGTAGATTGATGTGGTGGGCATGTGTGAAGGGGGCTGGGAGTGGGAGCGAGGTAAGAGGCGCACTTAGCTAAGTACCAGGAGGGCGTGATGTCGCTCTCCTACAGCAAGCACTCTCTTCTATACATGCCTCCTTCCCCTTCCCCACTCAGATCTGCGGGCCGTGGATGATGACGGGTCTGGAGCGGGTGGAGCATGTGGTGCAGCAGCAAGCATTCCCCTCCCCCACTCTTTCTAACGGCTCCAATCCCAACCCCTTGTCCCCACCCCCCCCCCCCCCACTCTTTCCTACTGTCCACACGCCCGCCCCCTGCAATGCCCCTCACGTGGTAGGTCTGTGAGCCGTGGATGATGATGGGGTTAGAAGAGGTGGAGCACGTGGTGCAGCGCCACCTCAACAGCAAGCTATCCCACCACCCTCCCTACCTCTATTCCCCTTATGCATACTCATACATGTATCCATCCCTCCCATCAGATCTGTGAGCCGTGGATGATGACGGGGTTAGAGGAGGTGGAGCACGTGGTGCAGCAGCAAGCATTCCCCTCCCCCACTCTCTCCAATGCCTCCAATCCCAACCCTCCCCGCCCCCTCCCATCAGATCTGTGAGCCGTGGATGATGACTGGATTGGAGGAGGTGGAGCACGTGGTGCAGCGCCACCTCAACAACAAGCAGCTACTCGTGGAGGCCTCTGATTGGCTGCTGCTCTCTTGCGACCCACGCTACGACCTGCACTTGGGCGGAACGGGGAGCTGGGCGGGAGTGGAGGGCGGGGGGGAGGAGGGGAGCGCGGGTGTCGGGGACACTGGTCAGGGGGTGGGGGCGGAGGGAGGGCAAGGGGAGGCGGAGGGGAGGAGTGGAGGAGGAGGGGGTGTGGAAGAGGAGGGAGGAGAGGCAGGGGAGGTGGAGGATGACGAGGAGAGGAAGCTGAGGGCGTTTATAGAGTGGGTGCAGCAGAGAGGCATCAAGGAGTATGGCACAGATGATTCCCCTCTGAAGGTGAGTGCACCTCAAGGTGAGCCCCTCGCATGGATGAATCACCTCTCAAGGTGAGAGAGTCACTCGAGGCGAGTTCGTAGCTCGTTCCATGCTATTGGTTGGGATATCCAGTCCAGGCCACCATTTCAAAACTCACTTCCTCTGAACAAAGTTGTTTTCTGGTTGAGCCTGCCGCAGTTTCGTTTCACTGTTCCTTGTAACACGCTTTCTCCTTCCTCAACTTTCCTCCTCGCTCTTCCCCTTATGCCATCCCCCTCATTGGCAGTTTCATTTCTATGACCATCGCGACGTGGCACCCTCCCTGAGTAACACCTCAGATCCCTCTGCTGCCACCAACGCCTCTGCCAAGCCACGTGTCAGGTGGGCAGTGTGACACGTGTCAGGTAAGCATCCTGCCACGTGTAAGCTGTGCAGTGTGGCACACGTGAGGTTAAGCATTCTGCCACGTGTCAGGTGTGTGCGGCGTGATACATTTCCAGTCAGCATTCCATCACGTGTCAGGTGTGCAGTCTATCACATGTCACTTAAAGATGCTGCCACGTGTCAGGTGTGCAGTGTGACACATTTATAGTATGAGTTTTGCCACGTGTCTTAACTCGTCCACCTGTGGTCCTGCCTGGGATGCCCAGCAAGCGCCAGATGAGCATTGTGGCGGGGAGGAACATGCTTTGAGACGTCTCAGAAGTAACCCAGCAAGCACCAGATGAGTATGGTGGCGGGGAGGGACATGCAGGAGGGAGAGGTGCTTTTTACCCCTGATTATCGGCATTCCTTCTTCTTACTCACCCCCCCTCACCCCCTTTTTCCTTGCTGCTGCACTGTCTCCTCATGCCCGTGCCAGGCGGCAGATGAGCACGGTGGCGGGGAGGGACGTGCAGGAGGGAGAGGTGCTGCCCGTTTCCGATCACTGTCATTCCTGCTTATCTCTACCCTTCGCCTCCTTTACCTCTTTCCACCTCTCTGTCTCCTGCCATGTCACGTCACGCCAGGCGCCAGATGAGCATGGTGGCGGGGCGGGACGTGCAGGAGGGGGAGGTGCTGCTGACCATTCCGCAGTCGCTGTGGATCACAGCAGAGGTCGCAGCAGAGGAGATGCCGCCCCACACAGGTACTCCCCTTTGCACGCACGGTACCGAATCGCACCACATTGCACCACATTGCACCGCATTGAACTGACAGTCATGCTGGAATGAGGGAGGGAGCCGCAGGGGGGAGGTGCTGCTCACCATTCCCCCCTCCATTCCGTTCCCCCATGGCACACCAGGGCCAGTGAACATCCAGGTGGCCATGGTGGCGTGGCTGCTGTGGGAGAACTTAAAGCAGGTGGCACGCCTCGTTTCCCCTCTGGCACGCCTCCCTTCCTTGTGAAACAGGCGCTTCAAACATGTGCATTTCCCCTCCCCTCCCCATGGCACACCAGGTCCTGTGAACATCCAGGTGGCCATGGTGGCATGGCTGCTGCGGGAGAAGGTAAAGCAGGTGACTTGCCTCCCTTCCTTGCGAAACGTTTTGCTTAAAACATGTGTATTCCCCCTCTGCTTTCCCGTGGCACACCCACCAGGCCCGGTGAACATCCAGGTGGCCATGGTGGCGTGGCTGCTGCGGGAGAAGGTGCTTGCTTGCTTGCTTGCTTGCAGAACCCTTGTGTACGAGCCTGCCGTCTCCACTCTGCCTTCCCTGCCTCCTCCACTCTTCCTCCCCTGCCACTCCTCACAGGCCCGGTGAACATCCAGGTGGCCATGGTGGCGTGGCTGCTGCGGGAGAAGGCGAGGGGGAGGCAGTCGGAGTGGTGGCCATACATAGACATCCTGCCGCCCTACGTGCCGCTGCCCTCCCGCTTCCGCAACGACTCACTGGACGAGGCTCAGTCCGACCTCCTCAAGCTACTGGTGCGTGCCGTGCCGTGCCGTGTTGCCTTGCGTGCCGTGCTGCCTTGGCGTGGTTGAATGTAGGGAAATTCTCAAGAGGCAGGTGGCTCATCCTGCCGCCCTACGTGCCGCTGCCCTCCCGCTTCTGTGATGACTCACTGGACGAGGCTCAGTCCCACCTCCTCAAGCTACTGGTGCGTGCCGTGCCGTGCCGTGTTGCCTTGCGTGCCGTGCTGCCTTGGCGTGGTTGAATGTAGGGAAATTCTCAAGAGGCAGGTGGCTCATCCTGCCGCCCTATGTGCCGCTACCCTCCCGCTTCTGTGATGACTCCCTGAAAGATGCTCAATCAATCCCAGGTCCACCAGCAGAGGGAGGTGGCACTTATGGAGTACAACCAGGCGCCCCTTCTCTGTGCCCTTCAGGGAGCTCTCGGGCCTGGACCTTGAAGTTGCCGCCACAGGGGACTCTCCGGCCTCCTCTCCCCATCTCTTTCCATCCATCTCCAACCCTCTCCATCTCTCTCCATCTCTCTCCATCCCTATCCATCCCTCCCTTCATCCCTGACCCCAATCACAGGTCCACCAGCAGAGGGAGGTGGCTCTTATGGAGTACAACCAGGTGCGCCCACCCGCCATGGCGTTTGCATCATTCGACGACTACATGTGGGCGCACTCTATTCTTGACTCGCGTGCCTTCTCTGTCCCCTTCAAGGAGCTCTCCGGCCTGGACATTGAAGTTGCTGCCGCAGGGGACTCTCCGGCCTCCTCTCCCCATCTCCTTCCATCCCTAACCATCTCTTTCCATCCTTCTCCCCTATCCTGACCCCAATCCCAGGTCCACCAGCAGAGGGAGGTGGCACTGATGGAGTACAAGCAGGTGCGCCCACCCGCCATGGCGTTTGCATCATTCGACGACTACATGTGGGCGCACTCTATCCTCGACTCGCGCGCTTTCTCCGTCCCCTTCAAGGAGCTCTCCGGCCTGGACCTTGAAGTTGCCGTTGCCGCCGCAGGGGAGTCGGGCAAAAAGGGAGCGAGGAGCAGCGAGGGGGGCGGGGGGGGCGACGGGGAGGCGGAGAGAGGACAGAGTGAGGGGGGTGAGAAGAAGAGGAGGAGGGCGAGGGAGCGGCGGAGGGCGATGGCAAACGCACCGAGCGAGCTGGTGGACGCAGTGAACGACGCAGTGGGGGTGCTGCACGAGTCGCCCCGCCGTGTGGTGCGCGGCGTGGGCATGGCGCTTATTACTGCGGCCGAGCTGCTGGACCACCAAATCAACTCCTCCATCCAGTACAACGTGAGTGCCAGTGGATGAGTGCGTGGGTGATTCATTCACAGGCGGCGCCAGTCGTCGCACTGTGTGGTGCTGCTGTGGTGCGAGGTGTGGGCATGGCGCTCATCACCGCAGCCGAGCTGCTGGATCACCAAATCAACTCCTCCATTCAACTCCTCCATTCAGAACAACGTGAGTGGGGGCTGCTTGTGAGTGTGTGAGTGGCTGGTAGACTGTGGCTTGCACACGATGAGCGAGGCGGCGGGAATGCGGGAGCAGGGGACGGGACACATGGGCGGGGGTCATCCTCGGACACATGGGCGGGGGTCATCCTCGGACACATGGGCGGGGGTCATCCTCGGACACATGGGCGGGGGTCATCCTCGGACACATGGGCGGGGGTCATCCTCGGACACATGGGCGGGGGTCATCCTCGGACACATGGGCGGGGGTCATCCTCGGACACATGGGCGGGGGTCATCCTCGGACACATGGGCGGGGGTCATCCTCGGACACATGGGCGGGGGTCATCCTCGGACACATGGGCGGGGGTCATCCTCGGACACATGGGCGGGGGTCATCCTCGGACACATGGGCGGGGGTCATCCTCGGACACATGGGCGGGGGTCATCCTCGGACACATGGGCGGGGGTCATCCTCGGACACATGGGCGGGGGTCATCCTCGGACACATGGGCGGGGGTCATCCTCGGACACATGGGCGGGGGTCATCCTCGGACACATGGGCGGGGGTCATCCTCGGACACATGGGCGGGGGTCATCCTCGGACACATGGGCGGGGGTCATCCTCGGACACATGGGCGGGGGTCATCCTCGGACACATGGGCGGGGGTCATCCTCGGACACATGGGCGGGGGTCATCCTCGGACACATGGGCGGGGGTCATCCTCGGACACATGGGCGGGGGTCATCCTCGGACACATGGGCGGGGGTCATCCTCGGACACATGGGCGGGGGTCATCCTCGGACACATGGGCGGGGGTCATCCTCGGACACATGGGCGGGGGTCATCCTCGGACACATGGGCGGGGGTCATCCTCGGACACATGGGCGGGGGTCATCCTCGGACACATGGGCGGGGGTCATCCTCGGACACATGGGCGGGGGTCATCCTCGGACACATGGGCGGGGGTCATCCTCGGACACATGGGCGGGGGTCATCCTCGGACACATGGGCGGGGGTCATCCTCGGACACATGGGCGGGGGTCATCCTCGGACACATGGGCGGGGGTCATCCTCGGACACATGGGCGGGGGTCATCCTCGGACACATGGGCGGGGGTCATCCTCGGACACATGGGCGGGGGTCATCCTCGGACACATGGGCGGGGGTCATCCTCGGACACATGGGCGGGGGTCATCCTCGGACACATGGGCGGGGGTCATCCTCGGACACATGGGCGGGGGTCATCCTCGGACACATGGGCGGGGGTCATCCTCGGACACATGGGCGGGGGTCATCCTCGGACACATGGGCGGGGGTCATCCTCGGACACATGGGCGGGGGTCATCCTCGGACACATGGGCGGGGGTCATCCTCGGACACATGGGCGGGGGTCATCCTCGGACACATGGGCGGGGGTCATCCTCGGACACATGGGCGGGGGTCATCCTCGGACACATGGGCGGGGGTCATCCTCGGACACATGGGCGGGGGTCATCCTCGGACACATGGGCGGGGGTCATCCTCGGACACATGGGCGGGGGTCATCCTCGGACACATGGGCGGGGGTCATCCTCGGACACATGGGCGGGGGTCATCCTCGGACACATGGGCGGGGGTCATCCTCGGACACATGGGCGGGGGTCATCCTCGGACACATGGGCGGGGGTCATCCTCGGACACATGGGCGGGGGTCATCCTCGGACACATGGGCGGGGGTCATCCTCGGACACATGGGCGGGGGTCATCCTCGGACACATGGGCGGGGGTCATCCTCGGACACATGGGCGGGGGTCATCCTCGGACACATGGGCGGGGGTCATCCTCGGACACATGGGCGGGGGTCATCCTCGGACACATGGGCGGGGGTCATCCTCGGACACATGGGCGGGGGTCATCCTCGGACACATGGGCGGGGGTCATCCTCGGACACATGGGCGGGGGTCATCCTCGGACACATGGGCGGGGGTCATCCTCGGACACATGGGCGGGGGTCATCCTCGGACACATGGGCGGGGGTCATCCTCGGACACATGGGCGGGGGTCATCCTCGGACACATGGGCGGGGGTCATCCTCGGACACATGGGCGGGGGTCATCCTCGGACACATGGGCGGGGGTCATCCTCGGACACATGGGCGGGGGTCATCCTCGGACACATGGGCGGGGGTCATCCTCGGACACATGGGCGGGGGTCATCCTCGGACACATGGGCGGGGGTCATCCTCGGACACATGGGCGGGGGTCATCCTCGGACACATGGGCGGGGGTCATCCTCGGACACATGGGCGGGGGTCATCCTCGGACACATGGGCGGGGGTCATCCTCGGACACATGGGCGGGGGTCATCCTCGGACACATGGGCGGGGGTCATCCTCGGACACATGGGCGGGGGTCATCCTCGGACACATGGGCGGGGGTCATCCTCGGACACATGGGCGGGGGTCATCCTCGGACACATGGGCGGGGGTCATCCTCGGACACATGGGCGGGGGTCATCCTCGGACACATGGGCGGGGGGTCATCCTCGGACACATGGGCGGGGGTCATCCTCGGACACATGGGCGGGGGTCATCCTCGGACACATGGGCGGGGGTCATCCTCGGACACATGGGCGGGGGTCATCCTCGGACACATGGGCGGGGGTCATCCTCGGACACATGGGCGGGGGTCATCCTCGGACACATGGGCGGGGGTCATCCTCGGACACATGGGCGGGGGTCATCCTCGGACACATGGGCGGGGGTCATCCTCGGACACATGGGCGGGGGTCATCCTCGGACACATGGGCGGGGGTCATCCTCGGACACATGGGCGGGGGTCATCCTCGGACACATGGGCGGGGGTCATCCTCGGACACATGGGCGGGGGTCATCCTCGGACACATGGGCGGGGGTCATCCTCGGACACATGGGCGGGGGTCATCCTCGGACACATGGGCGGGGGTCATCCTCGGACACATGGGCGGGGGTCATCCTCGGACACATGGGCGGGGGTCATCCTCGGACACATGGGCGGGGGTCATCCTCGGACACATGGGCGGGGGTCATCCTCGGACACATGGGCGGGGGTCATCCTCGGACACATGGGCGGGGGTCATCCTCGGACACATGGGCGGGGGTCATCCTCGGACACATGGGCGGGGGTCATCCTCGGACACATGGGCGGGGGTCATCCTCGGACACATGGGCGGGGGTCATCCTCGGACACATGGGCGGGGGTCATCCTCGGACACATGGGCGGGGGTCATCCTCGGACACATGGGCGGGGGTCATCCTCGGACACATGGGCGGGGGTCATCCTCGGACACATGGGCGGGGGTCATCCTCGGACACATGGGCGGGGGTCATCCTCGGACACATGGGCGGGGGTCATCCTCGGACACATGGGCGGGGGTCATCCTCGGACACATGGGCGGGGGTCATCCTCGGACACATGGGCGGGGGTCATCCTCGGACACATGGGCGGGGGTCATCCTCGGACACATGGGCGGGGGTCATCCTCGGACACATGGGCGGGGGTCATCCTCGGACACATGGGCGGGGGTCATCCTCGGACACATGGGCGGGGGTCATCCTCGGACACATGGGCGGGGGTCATCCTCGGACACATGGGCGGGGGTCATCCTCGGACACATGGGCGGGGGTCATCCTCGGACACATGGGCGGGGGTCATCCTCGGACACATGGGCGGGGGTCATCCTCGGACACATGGGCGGGGGTCATCCTCGGACACATGGGCGGGGGTCATCCTCGGACACATGGGCGGGGGTCATCCTCGGACACATGGGCGGGGGTCATCCTCGGACACATGGGCGGGGGTCATCCTCGGACACATGGGCGGGGGTCATCCTCGGACACATGGGCGGGGGTCATCCTCGGACACATGGGCGGGGGTCATCCTCGGACACATGGGCGGGGGTCATCCTCGGACACATGGGCGGGGGTCATCCTCGGACACATGGGCGGGGGTCATCCTCGGACACATGGGCGGGGGTCATCCTCGGACACATGGGCGGGGGTCATCCTCGGACACATGGGCGGGGGTCATCCTCGGACACATGGGCGGGGGTCATCCTCGGACACATGGGCGGGGGTCATCCTCGGACACATGGGCGGGGGTCATCCTCGGACACATGGGCGGGGGTCATCCTCGGACACATGGGCGGGGGTCATCCTCGGACACATGGGCGGGGGTCATCCTCGGACACATGGGCGGGGGTCATCCTCGGACACATGGGCGGGGGTCATCCTCGGACACATGGGCGAGGGTCATCCTCGGACACATGGGCGAGGGTCATCCTCGGACACATGGGCGAGGGTCATCCTCGGACACATGGGCGAGGGTCATCCTCGGACACATGGGCGAGGGTCATCCTCGGACACATGGGCGAGGGTCATCCTCGGACACATGGGCGAGGGTCATCCTCGGACACATGGGCGAGGGTCATCCTCGGACACATGGGCGAGGGTCATCCTCGGACACATGGGCGAGGGTCATCCTCGGACACATGGGCGAGGGTCATCCTCGGACACATGGGCGAGGGTCATCCTCGGACACATGGGCGAGGGTCATCCTCGGACACATGGGCGAGGGTCATCCTCGGACACATGGGCGAGGGTCATCCTCGGACACATGGGCGAGGGTCATCCTCGGACACATGGGCGAGGGTCATCCTCGGACACATGGGCGAGGGTCATCCTCGGACACATGGGCGAGGGTCATCCTCGGACACATGGGCGAGGGTCATCCTCGGACACATGGGCGAGGGTCATCCTCGGACACATGGGCGAGGGTCATCCTCGGACACATGGGCGGGGGTCATCCTCGGACACATGGGCGGGGGTCATCCTCGGACACATGGGCGGGGGTCATCCTCGGACACATGGGCGGGGGTCATCCTCGGACACATGGGCGAGGGTCATCCTCGGACACATGGGCGAGGGTCATCCTCGGACACATGGGCGAGGGTCATCCTCGGACACATGGGCGAGGGTCATCCTCGGACACATGGGCGAGGGTCATCCTCGGACACATGGGCGAGGGTCATCCTCGGACACATGGGCGAGGGTCATCCTCGGACACATGGGCGAGGGTCATCCTCGGACACATGGGCGAGGGTCATCCTCGGACACATGGGCGAGGGTCATCCTCGGACACATGGGCGAGGGTCATCCTCGGACACATGGGCGAGGGTCATCCTCGGACACATGGGCGAGGGTCATCCTCGGACACATGGGCGAGGGTCATCCTCGGACACATGGGCGAGGGTCATCCTCGGACACATGGGCGAGGGTCATCCTCGGACACATGGGCGAGGGTCATCCTCGGACACATGGGCGAGGGTCATCCTCGGACACATGGGCGAGGGTCATCCTCGGACACATGGGCGAGGGTCATCCTCGGACACATGGGCGAGGGTCATCCTCGGACACATGGGCGAGGGTCATCCTCGGACACATGGGCGAGGGTCATCCTCGGACACATGGGCGAGGGTCATCCTCGGACACATGGGCGAGGGTCATCCTCGGACACATGGGCGAGGGTCATCCTCGGACACATGGGCGAGGGTCATCCTCGGACACATGGGCGAGGGTCATCCTCGGACACATGGGCGAGGGTCATCCTCGGACACATGGGCGAGGGTCATCCTCGGACACATGGGCGAGGGTCATCCTCGGACACATGGGCGAGGGTCATCCTCGGACACATGGGCGAGGGTCATCCTCGGACACATGGGCGAGGGTCATCCTCGGACACATGGGCGAGGGTCATCCTCGGACACATGGGCGAGGGTCATCCTCGGACACATGGGCGAGGGTCATCCTCGGACACATGGGCGAGGGTCATCCTCGGACACATGGGCGAGGGTCATCCTCGGACACATGGGCGAGGGTCATCCTCGGACACATGGGCGAGGGTCATCCTCGGACACATGGGCGAGGGTCATCCTCGGACACATGGGCGAGGGTCATCCTCGGACACATGGGCGAGGGTCATCCTCGGACACATGGCGGGTCATCCTCGGACCATGGGTCATCCTCGGACACATGGGCGAGGGTCATCCTCGGACACATGGGCGAGGGTCATCCTCGGACACATGGGCGAGGGTCATCCTCGGACACATGGGCGAGGGTCATCCTCGGACACATGGGCGAGGGTCATCCTCGGACACATGGGCGAGGGTCATCCTCGGACACATGGGCGAGGGTCATCCTCGGACACATGGGCGAGGGTCATCCTCGGACACATGGGCGAGGGTCATCCTCGGACACATGGGCGAGGGTCATCCTCGGACACATGGGCGAGGGTCATCCTCGGACACATGGGCGAGGGTCATCCTCGGACACATGGGCGAGGGTCATCCTCGGACACATGGGCGAGGGTCATCCTCGGACACATGGGCGAGGGTCATCCTCGGACACATGGGCGAGGGTCATCCTCGGACACATGGGCGAGGGTCATCCTCGGACACATGGGCGAGGGTCATCCTCGGACACATGGGCGAGGGTCATCCTCGGACACATGGGCGAGGGTCATCCTCGGACACATGGGCGAGGGTCATCCTCGGACACATGGGCGAGGGTCATCCTCGGACACATGGGCGAGGGTCATCCTCGGACACATGGGCGAGGGTCATCCTCGGACACATGGGCGAGGGTCATCCTCGGACACATGGGCGAGGGTCATCCTCGGACACATGGGCGAGGGTCATCCTCGGACACATGGGCGAGGGTCATCCTCGGACACATGGGCGAGGGTCATCCTCGGACACATGGGCGAGGGTCATCCTCGGACACATGGGCGAGGGTCATCCTCGGACACATGGGCGAGGGTCATCCTCGGACACATGGGCGAGGGTCATCCTCGGACACATGGGCGAGGGTCATCCTCGGACACATGGGCGAGGGTCATCCTCGGACACATGGGCGAGGGTCATCCTCGGACACATGGGCGAGGGTCATCCTCGGACACATGGGCGAGGGTCATCCTCGGACACATGGGCGAGGGTCATCCTCGGACACATGGGCGAGGGTCATCCTCGGACACATGGGCGAGGGTCATCCTCGGACACATGGGCGAGGGTCATCCTCGGACACATGGGCGAGGGTCATCCTCGGACACATGGGCGAGGGTCATCCTCGGACACATGGGCGAGGGTCATCCTCGGACACATGGGCGAGGGTCATCCTCGGACACATGGGCGAGGGTCATCCTCGGACACATGGGCGAGGGTCATCCTCGGACACATGGGCGAGGGTCATCCTCGGACACATGGGCGAGGGTCATCCTCGGACACATGGGCGAGGGTCATCCTCGGACACATGGGCGAGGGTCATCCTCGGACACATGGGCGAGGGTCATCCTCGGACACATGGGCGAGGGTCATCCTCGGACACATGGGCGAGGGTCATCCTCGGACACATGGGCGAGGGTCATCCTCGGACACATGGGCGAGGGTCATCCTCGGACACATGGGCGAGGGTCATCCTCGGACACATGGGCGAGGGTCATCCTCGGACACATGGGCGAGGGTCATCCTCCTCGGACACATGGGCGAGGGTCATCCTCGGACACATGGGCGAGGGTCATCCTCGGACACATGGGCGAGGGTCATCCTCGGACACATGGGCGAGGGTCATCCTCGGACACATGGGCGAGGGTCATCCTCGGACACATGGGCGAGGGTCATCCTCGGACACATGGGCGAGGGTCATCCTCGGACACATGGGCGAGGGTCATCCTCGGACACATGGGCGAGGGTCATCCTCGGACACATGGGCGAGGGTCATCCTCGGACACATGGGCGAGGGTCATCCTCGGACACATGGGCGAGGGTCATCCTCGGACACATGGGCGAGGGTCATCCTCGGACACATGGGCGAGGGTCATCCTCGGACACATGGGCGAGGGTCATCCTCGGACACATGGGCGAGGGTCATCCTCGGACACATGGGCGAGGGTCATCCTCGGACACATGGGCGAGGGTCATCCTCGGACACATGGGCGAGGGTCATCCTCGGACACATGGGCGAGGGTCATCCTCGGACACATGGGCGAGGGTCATCCTCGGACACATGGGCGAGGGTCATCCTCGGACACATGGGCGAGGGTCATCCTCGGACACATGGGCGAGGGTCATCCTCGGACACATGGGCGAGGGTCATCCTCGGACACATGGGCGAGGGTCATCCTCGGACACATGGGCGAGGGTCATCCTCGGACACATGGGCGAGGGTCATCCTCGGACACATGGGCGAGGGTCATCCTCGGACACATGGGCGAGGGTCATCCTCGGACACATGGGCGAGGGTCATCCTCGGACACATGGGCGAGGGTCATCCTCGGACACATGGGCGAGGGTCATCCTCGGACACATGGGCGAGGGTCATCCTCGGACACATGGGCGAGGGTCATCCTCGGACACATGGGCGAGGGTCATCCTCGGACACATGGGCGAGGGTCATCCTCGGACACATGGGCGAGGGTCATCCTCGGACACATGGGCGAGGGTCATCCTCGGACACATGGGCGAGGGTCATCCTCGGACACATGGGCGAGGGTCATCCTCGGACACATGGGCGAGGGTCATCCTCGGACACATGGGCGAGGGTCATCCTCGGACACATGGGCGAGGGTCATCCTCGGACACATGGGCGAGGGTCATCCTCGGACACATGGGCGAGGGTCATCCTCGGACACATGGGCGAGGGTCATCCTCGGACACATGGGCGAGGGTCATCCTCGGACACATGGGCGAGGGTCATCCTCGGACACATGGGCGAGGGTCATCCTCGGACACATGGGCGAGGGTCATCCTCGGACACATGGGCGAGGGTCATCCTCGGACACATGGGCGAGGGTCATCCTCGGACACATGGGCGAGGGTCATCCTCGGACACATGGGCGAGGGTCATCCTCGGACACATGGGCGAGGGTCATCCTCGGACACATGGGCGAGGGTCATCCTCGGACACATGGGCGAGGGTCATCCTCGGACACATGGGCGAGGGTCATCCTCGGACACATGGGCGAGGGTCATCCTCGGACACATGGGCGAGGGTCATCCTCGGACACATGGGCGAGGGTCATCCTCGGACACATGGGCGAGGGTCATCCTCGGACACATGGGCGAGGGTCATCCTCGGACACATGGGCGAGGGTCATCCTCGGACACATGGGCGAGGGTCATCCTCGGACACATGGGCGAGGGTCATCCTCGGACACATGGGCGAGGGTCATCCTCGGACACATGGGCGAGGGTCATCC